TTTTTCAAAGTTTATAATAATATGGCTTGAATGTTTAATTAATAGTTAAGAAAATAATTTTAATCGACTAGTAATTTATTTGCGTTTATATTTCTATAATTTTTTTACATATCACATATATTCATATAAATAAAGCGAATTATCTAAGAAAGTTCGGTTTATTCGGTTCGGTTCGGTTTTTAAAAGTAAAAAACCAAAACGGAACCAAACACTAACGGTTCGGTTCGGTTTTTTTACATTCGGTTTTTTCGGTTCGGTTTTTTTTCTAGCTCGTTTCGATCGATTTCGGTTCGGTTTGCGGTTTTCGGTTTTCCCAACCCAGCCCTACGCCTTTTGGCCGGGGAAAAAAGTAGTTTATCACTAAATCATGTACCCCAGAGAATGCTTATCTTAAACAGAGATTAAAATGCAATAGTAAAGACACCCCTCCCACAAAAAAAAAAAAAGAAAAAAAAATGACACATTCAAACTATAAGTAAAAGTTGGGAGGGATTCTCATGAGATTGCAATTCAATGTCATGGGCTCCAATTGGGGCAATACCTAGTTCGTAAAATTAACGATTCCTACCCTCTTGACTTCCTGGTAAACTCGCTTACCCGGCCCGACACGAACTCACTTCCCACCCTGTTTAATTGCACTCCTTAAAATTAGTTAACATTGGTGTTGAAAAATTCGACCCCAGAGTGAACAAATTTTGGGAGTACAATTGAAAGGGATCGATTTGAGTCGGGGTGTATGTGGGTTTGGCGGGTGAAGATTTACCGGAGAATTATGAATGATAGAAACCGTCAACTGTACGAACCGGACACCGTATGTGTCTCAATTGGAGCCCATGCCATACCATACATTGAATGACAATGGCATAGAAGCCCAACGTAATTGTAGGAGTTCGAATGAGATCACATGCAATAGAACTGAGGTAAAAGTAGGACTGAATTGGGAAAATAAAAAACCGCAAACCGAACCAAAACTGATTGAAACAAGTTAGAAAATAAACCGAATTGAAAAACTGAAATCGAATGTAATAAACCGAACCGTTATTATTTGATTTCCGTTTTGATTTTTCCCTTTGAAAAACTAACCGGACCGAATAAACCAAATTTTCTTAGGTATTTTGTTTTATGTATATGAATATATGTGCTATGCAAAAATATTATAGAAATATAAATGTAAATAACTCATTAGTCGGTTAAAGTTATTTTTCATAACTATTAAACATTTTAAACCATATTATAAACTTTAAGAAATCCTAGGAATCTAAACACAAATAACTATTCCTAATACGGAATTATATTACTCCCTCCGTCCCAAATTATAATGCCTGTTTACTATTCACAGGGTCAAACTTCATTTACTCTCTTTCTCTATTTTCGTTAGCAATTTGATAAAATAAAATATTAGTGTCACTACTAGTTTTGTAGATCTTTTGATGTAGTTTTTTAATATGTTATTTTTATTTTTTAATTTTATATCATTTGTCATATAAAATGGTTTGAAAATAATTTCAGCCAAACATCGTAAACCGAAACAAGCGTTATAAAATGGGACGGAGGTAATAACATTAAAAATTGATACGAGTAATTTACATGAAAAATTTTGATATTATAGTGGAAATGAAAGTTTTATACCAACAAACGTAAATTGTCCGCAACTAATACTTACATACGAAAGCTTTGAAAGTATTTGGAATCTCCTATATGTTTGTTGGGCGCTCCACATATTTTTTTAATGTAAAAATGAACTTAATCAAACTCTTACTTGTTCGATTTTTGTTTTGGGTAAAAATCGAAATAAGAAAACCAAACCCAACCTTACATATTTTAACTGCTTCATCGAGTTAGTGTTTGTTCCCACTTTTTTAATGCTTATAAATTTTTAATTTTAAAAACCAAAAATCTAAAAAAAAAAAATACTGCATAAAACCGAATTGAATGACCAACGATTTACGTATTTTTGGTGTAAACCCAAACCTTACCGAACCGTTAACTTACCTTCCGTTTTGTCTTTGGTTTTGGATGAAAACGGAACCATTAAAACCGAACCCACCCCAAGGTAAAAGTATAGGAACTGAAAAACGTACGGAGTATTCTTTTCAAATAAAACATGAAATGTACTCCGTAGTAGAAAAAAGCTAAGTGGGGAGTAATCAATACTCTTCCCGCTCCCTTGTTTGTTTTTATCCCTCTCAAAATTAACTCTTTTTAAGACATGTAAATCTGTAATTGATACTGGTACTCTTTTCTGAATAAATTCCCACCACACACATACGCGCACATAATTATTAATCTTTAAAAAAGTGTACCATATAAAATGAAAATGAAATATAAAAAAAAGGTTGGAAGGAAGTAATACTAGCTTTATACTTACGTGACAATGGTAGGCATAACCGGGCTCTGCCGTGGCATCAAAAGGGTAGGAAGCATTTGAATGGATGAAGGAAAATGTGACAAAGATTCTTGTCACATAGCCGGGCATCGTCTTGTACACATTCTTCCATCCTTTCTCGTGTGCTCGCACCTCTACCCTTTCTCCGCGTGTATGCTCCTTCACTTTACACTTGACCGCGTTGTTTAACTTCACCATACATGCTTTAAACTCCTCCTCTTTCACCAACTTGGTTTGATCCAACACCTTGAAAAGGCCTAAATGGATGTGCAATGGATGGTTATCCTCCGTTAGATTTATGACATTCCATATCTCACTTGTTCCCGCTTTTGGTCTCTCCATAACTGGAGCGTCATACGATTTCCCGTTGATGTATAGATGTGTAGGCTCGTCAACATCGCTCGTATACTCAAACAGAGTGATGTACCTTGTGGTTGTGGCCTCTGATACGTTTGGGGTGGGATATTTTATGAGTTTATTAGGAATTCGTAATGTGTCACGCTCGCGACCAGATTTCAGGATGAATTTCATAACTTTGCTATTAGCTTCGTCAGTGGGATCACCCGAAGGGTAAGGGTATGGGGCATTATTAGCTAGGATTGCTGATTTTGACTTTGACTTGGAAAAGTCAACCACAACGTCGGCAATTTCAGATGGGGCTAGGAGGACCTCACAGAGTGCAACAGGGTGTTCGTTGTACGCCGAGTCCGATGCCACGTGGATAAAGGTCAAGTTGTTGAGGAAGTAAAAGTTGAAAAAACGGGCATTACTGGCATTGATGATCCTGAACCTGTATTTTCTACGTCGCACGATCATGTAGGGCCATGCTTTGCCATTGACTATGATGGCATCGCCAAAGTACTCGGGTTGCCATTGTGGGTGTATGGATGGATTGTTTCCCGTAGAGTTCATGTAGATCGAACCGTTGGTGTTGAAGCTGCGATCAAAGACGACCAACGGAAGATCGATTGGCAACCGGAGTGGGTTCTCAATATCCGGCTGGCGTATGATGTACGCCCCGCACAGACCAGCCAAGAGGTTGACTCTGGTCAACCCCATGGCATGGTCATGGTACCACAGGGTCCCAGGTTGTTGAATGTTGTGATAGTGGTACATCTTCTTCGTCCACGCGGACCCACGCTCTCCAAATGCGGCAGTGAACCATGCATTTGGGTTGCCATCGCTCTCGGGTTCGTCAATTCCTCCATGCAGGTGGACCACCGTCGGGATCCCCCCGCCCTTCTTCTTGGGTTGAGCAGTGGGGATGGTTGGGTCCCAAGGGAGTATGTGTTGGGAAGGGAGATGGTTTTCCCATGTAACGTATGTGTCAACTCCGTGAAGCGCCTCGATTGTAGGACCAGGAACCGTTGCTGCGTGCCTCGACTTGCCATATGAGAACACCGGGGTTGAGGGAAGATCTCTGTGAAACTTCTGCATTGCAACATATAACATAACAATACTCCACCCTATTACTCCAGTATATTACTTGTATCAATAAAGTCAAAATGAGAATTTAGCAATTTAATTAGTTGGGAGGTATGATCACAGATTTTAGTTGATTACATCCATAAAATAAAGACTGACCCATTTCTTGTGAAACATGCCAATGTTGAGTGATTTGGGAACAGGACGGCCATGAACCACATCATAGCCTTTGATTCTGGGCATATGTGGGAGTTTGTCAACAAACATCTCTAACTTGGAAGGGCTTAAGACGATAGACTCCGCTGCAAAAACTCCAAACGCTATGGCTACTAACAAGAGTCGGACCCCAAACTGCAGCTTTACTTTCTCCATTTGCATCATCATTTTCATATGCGGTTCCAAACAACTATCTGAAAAAAAACTGTGTTTTGAGGATAAAAAATATGGCAGGGTTTAGGCACTTGTGAAGGGAAGGAAAATCAGAAAGTATATTTTTGGCGGGTGATTATGACTATAACAATAATTTATTAATTACTTGTGAGAATAAATTCAATTCTCGGTTCCTAACTTTCTACAAGCATCAGAATATATATTTTCATGGCTAAGAAAGCATAATCAGATCTGTCCATATATATCATATACTCTGTCTCTGTTCCCAAATCAAAGTTTCAGCCCTTTTTCATTCGTTCCAAAATAAACTTATTAGTATTACTTTTTCCTTCTCATTGAAAAAAGATTTCTCAAGTAGTACTTTAGTGACTTGCAACATTTCTCTCTTCTCTATACAAATTCTACCTACACACTTTTCATTTTTCAATAACTATTTTGAACTCCATAAAGTTAAACTGTGACTTTTTTTGGGGACAAAAAATGGAGTATATGCATCCACTTGTACTAAAGCAATTTTCCACAAAAATTACTTTCGGATAAGGCTAGTTTTCTCGAAATAACTCATAAACCCTCATGTTTTTTAAAAACCATCAGGAGTCTCATATTCTCTGTTTTATCCTTATTCACATAGTCTTGCTTGTCTTATGCTAGGGACCACCAGCTCGTTATTAACATTCTATTTTCTCTTTCTCCATTTGCAATTTATTAAAAAAAATATATCCTATGTGCTGTATTACTTTTTTTTGTCAATTTCGCATGAAAAAAAAAGAAAACACAAAGTGTAGTGGAGAACAAATGATAATGTTTTGTTGACGGCAGTTGTTTAAAGAATAGTATGCGTCGGAAAAGGTAGAGCATGATTGAACTGAATTCACATTGGAAAAAAAAGCACTACACAAACTTTCACAATATCTTTGGTTCAAAGACAATAATATTCTCAAATACGAGATTTCTTTTTTCTCTATTAAATATATTTTACCTTCTCATTTATTTGTTTTCTTTTCTCTTCCTCCCTAACTAAACAATGCAAGCGTTTACGGTCCTTTTTTTTCTCAAAAGTAAATATAACATACTCCGGAGTAGTAATTACTATTTGTCCAATTTTGACTTTTTTCAGTTAACTGTTTTCGACTTTTGACCTATAATTAAATAAAAAAAATATTGTATATTAATTAGATAAAATAATATTTTGAAAATATTTAATATAATAAATCTAATCTAATTTTTTGTATCAATATCTAATATCATTTTTATTAAATTTCAGATCAAAGTTTACTAATTTTGACCAGAAAAAATCAAAAATGGACAAATATTCAACGACCGAGAGAGTTGTAATTATAATCATCTTAGAAAAATTCAAAGCTGGAACGTTTGGGTGATCTGTTTCATTTCTTTGAAGTTATCTCGAATTGTATGGGTGATCTGTAATTTGGATGAATATTTATATGAAGAAATTTTTTTTATTACTAGTAATTAATACTTTATTGTCATCATCGATCTAAAATCTAAAAGTAGGGAGGACAGCAGGATTTATTTACAGCATTAAAAAAACAACCATTCTTCTTTTAACAATAATTATATCCCACTAAAATAATCCCACAAACTAACGGACCATCTCCGGGAACACTCTGACAACATATGAATGGATGTGAACAGCCCAACAATAAAGAAAGGATTCGAGGAATAAGAATGAATAATACCTGGCTGGCCTGGGTGGACGTTGAAGCGGCCGATTAGGTAGGTGATCAGAAGAAATGATGCTAGCGGCTGGGTTTAAATAACCCTAAAATATTGGTTAGACTAGGGGTGTAATGGGTTTTGGCTGTTTGGTTTTTATCCAAAACTAAAACAAAACAGTGAGTAACTTGGTGGTTTTATTTGGTTTTATTTTGGTTTTTTCGGTTTATGAAAAAAAATTATAAGCATTAAAAATTTGTAAATATACTAACCCGATAAAGGAATAAAAATATGTAGGTTTTGGATTATAAAACGTCTCATTTGCAGTTTGCTTGAGCCTTTACTCTTGAACGCACCTCCAAAGGCTCCAATCATTTTCTTAATAATCTTCAACACCACCTTAAAGCTAAATTTCAAGTATAATAGGAGTATCTGAATTTTCATTAAAAAAATTATTTGGTATTTGGACTTCAAAATCCTTTACAAGAGAAAAATACTAGAGGTACACCAAAGGTGTACCCCACCCCCTCCTTGTCCACATAATTAGGCAAGAAAATAAAAAATAAATAAATAAATAAAAATTAATTTAAAATGGGTGGTGGAGAAGAGGATGGTGTACAAATGGGGTACACCTTTGGTGTACCCCTAGAAAGGTGTACTCCTAGCATGGCTCTTTACAAGAATATCTAAACTTATACTCATTTCACTAATAATTCTTTTACCTATTACCAGTAGTTCACTTTAGACCAAAATATATATTTTTATTTTTTATTTTTTCACATTGACCTCAATTTTTTTCTTTTCTTTAGACTCCCCTTAAACTTCATTTTTTCTTTGTCATCTCACTCCCCCTTCTTCTTTCTCTCCTTTCTTCTACTCCTTTCGTCTTATATTAGATTAAAAGCTGTGAAAAATGAAGAAAAATTCTAAATTTTTTCAATTTATTTTAATTAAAAGATTCTTATATAAATAAAAATTAAAATTTGCATATTTAGTTTACAAACTACATCAAAATTTATACAAAATAAGACGTGACAAAAATATTTTATTTTATTAGATTATCAATAAAAATGCAAAACTAAACAAATAGCGAATATTGTAATCAAATATGAGACGGAGAGAGTATTTTTTTTGTTTTTTTCTTTCTTTCCCCTTTTCTTATTTTATATTTTTCTTTTTACTCTCTCCCTCTTTTCTTTTGTTCCTCTTTCAACTCTTTATTTATTTTTTTATTCTTTTTCTATTTTTCTCATTCCTTACCTTTTTTTCTTTAGATTTAATTTGTATTCTTTTTCTCTTTCTTTTTTCCTTTTTTAAATTTTTTTCGCTGTTTTAAATTTCTATCTCCATGTTTTCCTTTGCTATTTTTTCTTTTGTAGCATTTTTATTTATTTTTTATTACTATTCCGTTTTTATCGTTTCATAATTTTTCTTCTCTTCGTTTTCTTTCTGTTTTCCTTTGTTTATCTTTTTCGTTGTTTTTTCTCTTTCTTTCATTTTACTAATTTTTCTTTTGTTTCTTTTTAAACTCGTTTTATTTTTTGATACCATTTCAAATCTATAGGTTTTTTTACTTCAATTTTCTCATTTTTTTATATGCTGGAACTTAATTTTGTTTCTTTTCATTTCAACTTTTTATTCTATTTGCTTGCCCACTTCATAATACGGTGCGGAATTATTTCTTCTTTTATCTTTTTTTTGTGTATTTTTTCGGTTTGTATTGATTTTTTTATTCTTTTTTTACGTTGTTTTTATTTTCTCTCTTTACGTTCTAACTAATTTCTTTATTTCATTTTCCAATTTTTGTACTACTTAAACTAAAATTGTTTTTTTTTACTTCTTTTTTTTCTATTTTTGATATGCTTTTCTATTTGTTTTTTATTTTGCTTGCCCATTGCATAATACAATATAAATTTTTCTTTTTCTGTTGCTTTTTTTCTTTTTTGTAATTCTCTTCTCCCTTTTTCTTTATTATTCTCTCTCTTTCTCCCCTTGCTAAATAATTTTTCTTATTTTGTTCATTTTTCAATTTTTTATTCAAAAGTAAAAACAATTGAAAAAAGAAACAAGAGAAAAAATGAGTAAAAGGAAGAGAGGGACATCGAGAGAACAACAACAAAGATAAAAAAAGAAACAAATATTTCTAGTTTTATTTATGGAGTGCGTGAGCAAAATGAAACAGAGAAAAAACAGAAATAATGGAATTTTGTGAAAAGGAAGCAAAAAAACGTGCGAAAAATAAAAATGAAACGAAATAAAAACGTTTATGTTTAAGCAATAAAAACGTGAGAAAATTGAAATAAAAGATTTATGGATATAAAAATAATTTATTTATTTAATTTTCAAAAATAAAAAAAGTTAAAAAGTTTGCATTGAATAGAAAACAAAATAAAAACAAATATTTAATTTTAAGTAAATTGAAATAAGAAACATATAGGTCGGAAAAGTATCAAAAAATAAAAAGAGTTATAAAAGGAACAAAAGAAAAAATAGCAAACACAAAAAAAAAATAGAAAACAACAACGGAAAAGATAAAAAAAATGAAAAAAACAAAAAATAAAACGAAATGAAAAAAAATTAAAAAAAGGTAGGAAATGAAAAAAACGGAAAAAGGAAACAAAAAATAAAGATTACAAAAAAGGAACAAATAAAAAATGGCAAATAGAAACAAAGAGAGAAAATTAAAACGACAAAAAAACAATGTACCGTTTATGTACTATTCTTGAAATTTACACACACCTCAACCTCCTTTGGCTCCAATATTCAAGGAAAATTACTCTTTACAATGTACTCTCAACAAGAACAAAAACATAAAAAGATAAATCCAAAATAAACATAAAGATAAAAATCTAAGTAATTAGAAGAGAACACTAAAATTAAGAACTTACGTCGGATAACACTATCATATACTGAGCACACTTAGAGACAACGAGACACATAAATCGCATCGTATAATATCCACACTATGTTCCCCCGGGTCGTTGTGGTACTCCAGGAAGATCAACCCAATTAATCTGGTCTAGCCTTAAGCTGAGACATGTGTTGTTCCCGAAGTAACCACCAAGACCTTAAAAATTAAAAAATCAATCAGTATGAAAATAGTTTGTGACAAATAAAGACTTCCTTCAATATGATTAATCAAATCAAATAACCCATATCAATACTTCCTCGTTTATGAAAGTCTTCACTCTCATTTGCTTATGTCCTCCAGTCGCGAAGAGTGAGTTAAAGAAATACACTTTGTTTTGGAACAAGCGTATTACAACCAACACTCAATGATGCCTACAATTCAAATTAAAGAAGCGTTAGTAATTACTTTCATAATCAATAATAGATAAAAAACTTGATTACATATTTTAAAGGATTTAGACAACATACGAGCTTAGAAGATACAACGACATATGTATCCAGGGTCACGATTAATGTGCATCGAGGGCTCTATCCGGATAGCTATGATCCTCATAATGTACCACTGCACGCTCTCCACACAACACAGCCCAACATTCGTGATGTCGTGCTCCAACATGTATTCGTGCAATAATCTTGATATTTGACAAGTAAATAGAACACACATTACATGAACTCTCGTATAATTAAAACATAATTACATGATGTGTGTATGTAGCACTTGTCATACATCGAGTATAAAATCATGATGGTCTTATCGACCTCCTCCCATCGCATAAACTCCCTTATGTTCTCAGGTCACATCTTCAATTCTGTCTCCTTCACATGCATCATGCACTCAGGATCGAGAATAACGCTGATGGTAGGCACTAGGCAGGGCAGATGTGTGTGTCAGCCACTTATACAACTCTCTGCATCTCGGCTAAAATTGGTGTACAAGCTCTGGGAAGCAACATCCTGCACGAGAGAGCTCGCAGCAGCAGTGGGGCGAATCCCAAGAATGGGACGATGTTTGTTCGAGGAGAAATATAATCACCCTGGCAGGGCGTGTGGACTGGGGGCTACAAACAAATCCAAGAACAAAGACATGTAAATGACCATCAAATGATGTACAATGAAAAAGACGAAATACATTAACTTCTTATCTTTCCAAGACCCACCAACGACTGCGACCATGCGACAAAGCTCCCTCGCAATCAATCAGCTACCGTCTTCATATGCTCTGTCAGACAAGGAATGCTATACTCACCCATACCAGGAAGCACCAAGATCACAAAGACCTTGACCTGGTGGGGAAGGAGGGGAACACCGTGCACCACATCTCCTAGTGCACGGGGGAAAACTGATCCATGTGCGACTACAAACGCACAACTAAATGGACCTTGATATCAAAAAACGATGGAGGAAAGAACATATCAAACAGACATAAGGTGACTACCACGCCTCTTGCAACTGATCTAACGTTTCAGCATCAATGACCTTACTACAAATTGAATTTAAAAAATAATAAAGTCTAGCTATTTCCCCCCTCACATTCGATGGAAAAATGGATCTAATTTCCACAGGAAAAAAATGCTAAATTAGTACATCACAATCGTGAGATTTAAGACCATTCAATTTCAAATCCTTCATTGACACACAAATCTTAATGTTTTCAACAAACCCTTGTGGAACCTGTATATCACACAAACATTGACAAAGAGTTATTTTTTTCTCTAGAAAGTGGGTAACAAGTAAGAGGTAGAAATATTGCAATGTCCTTTTTCTTGCGGACCAAGCTTAGTACGAATGTCATGTCTATTAGATCTTTTCTTGTATTTACAGCATCCTTAGTCTTGTCAGGAACATTTAAGAGGATGCCAATAAAACCATCACATACATTTTTTTTCTATATGCATCACATCAAGATAATGCCTGACGGATAAGAACTCCCAATAAGGTTGTTCCTAAAATATTGACCTTTTCTTCCATATTAGACTGTTTGGATCAACTTTCTCTGTCTTTCCAAAAGTATGGTTTATGTTTTTCAATTTTTCGTGCAACGCTTTGCCAGTCAATACTATCGGATCAATCTCATTCTCCGCTTTACCATTGAAAGCCTTTCTCATGCAACGGTAAGGATGATGACGTTTTAAGAGTCGACAGTGACCTAAGAAGACTGACTTTTTCCTGTACTTTAGCAACACACTTGAAGTATTCTCCTCACATATCAAACATGCATACTTTCCCTTATTTTTATAACCAGATAAGTTACCATATGCTGGGTAGTGAATGATTGTCCAAAGAATCATAGCACGCAACGTGAAACACTCTTGATGATTAACATCAAAAACATTTACACCATGAATCCACATTTTCTTCA